TTAAACTATTTAGTCATAAATTTTAAATGAAATTTAAAATAATATATTAATAATAATTAATTTTTTTATTAAAAGAAACTAATCAACAAAAATTATATAAGAAAAAAATTTAATTATCATTCATATATATTGTTAATTTTTTAAAAAAATTCAAATTCAAAAGTTAAATAAGAGAAACTAAAGTTGAATGGAGAAGATAATTCATTAATTTTATTGATGGCTTATTTACCCATTCAGCTTGATCGGAGAAGGAATGATTGAATTCCCGTGCCAACAAAGAAGAAGTGGTGAAATAAGGGGAGATGAGGAGAAGGAGAAGGAAGGATTGAATTCCCGCACTAGCAAATGACTATTTTTTGGCCAGAGACTGAGAGAAGCAGCAAGGACCGAGAGAAGCGACGTTTCCCCTTTTTTTTCTTTTTTTTTTAAAAAAAATAATAATTTAATGTGAAAACAACGTCAGTTGCTTGTGTTAGATTATACAAAATGATGGGACAAAATGATTGTCCTCATATCATTTCTTAATAATTAAGCATGTTATAGAAGCTTCCTTCTTCTTCATCTCAGTTTCCAACACTTGCCTTGTCCCTAAATCGCAGACCAACTGCACCCTCCTCTTTGGACCATGGTCATTGGAATTCCATAATTCATATGATTCAAGAGTTCAAGTTTTGGGATTATTATTAAAGAAAATTAATTTTTTTTAAATGCATCATGTTGATATTGTAAATGTGTCTTTAAAATTATCAAAATAATTAATAATAATTATGAGATACGTAAAAACTAATTTGAGATATCTGATGGTCCAAAATAAAAATGACTTAAGAGTTCACCTCTTGTGATATTTTTAATGGGAATTGGGTCTTGGATGATGATTTTGGCACGATATATCCACCAGCTGGGTCTTGTCCATTTTTCATTCTAGCCTTTGTGGTATTTTTATTTCGATTATGCTTTTAACATCAAGAACAATCTATCAAAAGTTTGAAACATAGAGGCCTACATCCTGAGGAAAATATTTGGCTATATAGTTAGCAAGCATATTAATTTATAATATTTGGTGTACATGGACAGAGTATTTCTTGTACTCCAAAAATAATAAAAATAAATTAGTTTTGCCTTTCCAAAAAAATGAAAAAAAAGAACAATCTATCTGCTTCTTGCAACCTTGGGTACCGGTAGAAGCCGTTTGGTTGTAAATGCTACTATCCTGTCCTTAATTAGTTGATTAAGTCTATAAATACAATACTCATATTTAATGTTCTTTCAATATTCATGTTCTTCATCAATGTTCTTGTTACCAAAAAAACCTACAGAAGTAAAATAAAAACAAAAAATTCTCTTTAATTTTCCTTCATTAATGCTCTTCCATACAACTAGATATTTGTTTTATTTTTATCAGTAGAAATTGCAATTTATTAACGAGGTACAAGGGTGCCTTAACCATGACATTAATTATCAAAAAAAAAAAAAAAAAATCCTTATCATACATGTCAATCAAAACCAATTCGATGAAACCTCCTAACCAACTCATTGTACAACGTCGGTATAGTACCAAAATAAATTAAGGGAAAAAAGAAAATCAAGTGGTATTACTATTAGAAATATTAAAATGTTCAATAAAAATTACATGATAAATTTGATAAAATTAAAATTCATATTATGTTTCATATATTTAATAATTATGATTGGATGTCCTAATATTCTTATGTTAGCACATCTTGATTTTCTTTTTTCTCATAAATTAATAAACATAGGCTTAACAAAAATTCAAGGGAATCTAGCAATTGCTCCCACTATAATTAAACAAACACTTCTCCTATTTTCCATCCTCTAATACAACCACCATGACAACATATCTTCACATGTCTCTCACTAGTTCAAGAGTTAACGGACTCCTAACAATCAATTAAGTCAGTCAGAATTCAACTAAAGCAGAGATAATTTAACTGTGTATACCTTGAGATGAAAACAAGCAGAAGTTCCATGCTCCTATATCTTGTACCAAATTGAATAACATAGCCACATCATCAATGACGTGGAAAGCGAGTGCTATGAAAGCACAGGGGAAACGAAGTTTGTGTCACATGATAGCACGTGCAGGATGCCGTTAACGTGAGTGCTAATCTGCATCAATTGCACCGAACAGGGGCTTACCCTGCTTTAAAATTAATTTAGAGGCTTAAGCGTAAATTTAGATAAAATTTTAAAACTTAAGAGTCAAGGTTTTGGGTGCACATATTCTAGTCCTCGCGGGGCTGCAAACGCGTGGTGGTTACTATGTTTAACGTGTTGACTTGATCAAGTCAAATCTTCATGCCTAAGGTTAAGGGACACAATCATTCTAAAAGAATTTTCCATTTAAAATTACTTTTATGTGACCAGACCTTAATTTCGTCTCAGTTTCATTTTATACGTATAAATCCTAATATAAATAGCACCTCAATCAGTTTTTTGAATTGGACTTGTTGAGTTTACGTCAACGTTTAAAACATGCATCACCTCTCCGTATGAGGTTAATGTTACAACAATAAGTTATTAGTGTCACATAAATTTATTGTTTTTAAATGGTTAGTTATCTCTATTTTTTATTTTACTAGACCATTGTAAGAAACTAACTACTAAACATTTTGGTCCTTTTTTTTTT